AAGTTGAAAAATTGGAAAAGCGGAAAAATAAAAAAAAGAAAAAATTTAAAACTGGAAAAATGAGAAACCGAAATAGGCCAAAATAAAAAATTGAAAAACCGATAAATCGAAAACCTGAGCAATCAAATCTCGATAAATCGGGAATGAAAAATTAACAAATCGAAAAATTGAAAAACAGAACATCTAAAACCAGAAAGTCGAAAAATCGAAAGACTAAGAAATATTGAAAAACTAAAATATCAAAAGATTGAACAATCTAAAATTTAAAAATCCAAAAATTGAAAAATCGAAAAAGTAAAACACATCGAAAAATCCAGAAGTCAAAAATAGAAAAACCGAAGAATAGAAATATTGAAAAATCCTAAAACTGAAATATCTAAAAAGTGAAAAATCGAAAAATCAAAAAAGTGAAGTCGAAAAATAGAAACCTTAAAAAATCGAAAAATTGAAAAATCAAAAAATTAAACAATTGAAGAACAGAAAAATCGAAACACTCGAAGGTCAAGAAATGGGAAAATCAAAACATAGATTAATTGAAAAATCGAAAAATTGAGGGTTTATGAAAGTCAAATTTGAAAAATTAAAAAATCGAAAATTTGACAAAATGACAATTGAAAAACATAACTTCCAAAACGGGGAAGTCGAAAAATCAAAAAAAAAATTCGAAAACTTGAAAAATTCAAATACATATCGAAGAACTGAACTGAAAAATCGAGAAATCGAAAAATCTAAAATTTTAAAAATTAAAAAATCTAAAATTTAAAAATCGAAAAAGTAAAAAGGTAGACACATCGAAAAATCCAGAAGTCAAAAATAGAAAAGCCGAAGAATTGAAGTATTGAAAAATTCTAAAACTGAAATATCTAAAAATTGAAAAATCAAAAAATCAAAAAATCAAAAAAGTGAAGTCGAAAAATAGAAACCTTAAACAATCGCAAAATTGAAAAATCAAAAATCTGAAAAATCAAAAAATTAAAGAATTGAAGTACAGGAAAATCGAAACATTCGAAGGTCATGCAATGGGAAAATCAAAACATCAATTAATTCAAAAATCGAAAAATTGAGAGTTTATGAATGTCAAATTTGAGAAATTAAAAAATCGAAAATTTGACAAAATTACAATTGAAAAACAAAATCCAAAACGGGGAACTCGAAAAATCAAAAGATTAAGAAATCGAAACCTTTGAAAAATTCAAATATCGAAGAACTGAACTGAAAAATCGAGAAATTGAAAAACCTAAAATTTTAAAAATTAAAAAATCTAAAATTTAAAAATCGAAAAAGTAAAAAGGTAGACACATCGAAAAATCCAGAAGTCAAAAATCGAGAAGTCGAAGAATCGAAATATTGAAAAACCCCAAAACTGAGATATCGAAAAACTGAAAAATCCGAAAACTGAGACATCCAAAAATTGAGAACCTAAAAAGTCAAAAAATTGAGCAATCGAAAAATCCCAAAAGGGAAGTAGAAAAACCGGAACCTTAAAAAACTAAAAAATGAAAAATCGAAAAATTAAAGAATTGAAGAACAAGAATATCGAAACGTTCGAAAGTCAAGAAATGGGAAAATGAAAAAAGCGAAAAATTGAAAAACAGAAAATCTAAAACCGAGAAGTGGAAAAATCGATAGACTAAGAAATCAAAACATTTGAAAAATTGAAATATGCAAAAGCTGAAATGAAAAATGGAGAAATCGAAAACTCTAAAATTTTAAATATTGAAAAATTAAAATACCAAAAAATTGAGAAATCTAAAATTTAAAAATCGAAAAAGTAAAAAGTCGACACATCGAAAAATGCAGAAGTCAGAAATGGAAAAGTAGAAGAACAGAAATTTTGAAAAATCCCAAAACTGAAATATCTAAAAACTGAGAATCTAAAGAATCGAAAAAATGAGAAACAGAAAAATCAAAAAAGTGAAGTCGAAATATCAAAACCTTAAAAAAATCGAAAAATTGAAAAATCAAAAACCTGCAAAATCGTAAGATCGAAAAATTGAATAATAAGTAAACTGAAAAATCCCAAAACTGAAATGTCCAAAAACTGAGAAATTAAAAAATTGAAAAATTGAGAAATCGAAAAATCAAAAGATCAAGAAATGGTGGAGTCGAAAAGTCGAACAATTGAGAAACCGAAATAGGCCAAAATGAAAAAATCGAAAAGTTAAAGATTGAACAATTTATAAATTGAGAAATTGACAATCAAAACATCGAAAAATCCAAATCCCGATAAATCGAGAAATAAAAAAAAATTAAAAATTCGAAAAATTGAAAAATTCAAATATCGAAGAACTGAACAGAAAAATCGAGAAATTGAAAAATCTAAAATTTTAAAAATTAAAAAATCTAAAATTTAAAAATCGAAAAAGTAAAAAGGTAGACACATCGAAAAATCCAGGAGTCAAAAATCGAGAAGTCGAAGAATCGAAATATTGAAAAACCCCAAAACTGAGATATCGAAAAACTGAAAAATCCGAAAACTGAAACATCCAAAAATTGAGAACCTAAAAAGTCAAACAATTGAGCAATCGAAAAATCCAAAAAGGGAAGTAGAAAAACCGGAACCTTAAAAAACTAAAAAATAAAAAATCGAAAAATTAAAGAATTGAAGAACAAGAATATCGAAACGTTCGAAAGTCAAGAAATGGGAAAATGAAAAAAGCGAAAAATTGAAAAATCGAAAATTTGAAAAAACTTCAATTGAAAAACAGAAAATCTAAAACCGCGAAGTCGAAAAATCGATAGATTAAGAAATCAAAACATTTGAAAAATTCGAAAACATAAAAATCGGAAATATCGAAGAACTGAAATGAAAAATCGAGAAATCGAAAAATCGAAAATTTTGAATATTGAAAAGTGAAAATACCAAAAAATTGAGAAATCTAAAATTTAAAAATCGAAAAAGTAAAAAAATGCAGAAGTCAGAAATGGAAAAGTCGAAAAACAGAAATATTGAAAAATCCCAAAACTGAAATACATATCTAAAAACTGAGAATCTAAAGAATCGAAAAATAAAAAAAGTGAAGTCGAAATATCGAAACCTTAAAAAAATCGAAAAATTGAAAAATCAAAAACCTGCAAAATCGTAAGATCGAAAAATTGAATAATAAGTAAACTGAAAAATCCCAAAACTGAAATGTCCAAAAACTGAGAAATTAAAAAATTGAAAAATTGAGAAATCTAAAAATCAAAAAAGATAATATGAAAAATCGAAAAACTGAGAATTCGAAAGTTGGAACAACAAGAAATTATGGCCGAAACCGGTTAGGAAGTGTATGAGATCACGGATTATGGCTTAAAAATCAAATCATTTCCGAACGCTTAGAGTCGACATTGGCCTGAGTGCGCTCTGGTCTGTGGATCAAACAAGTAAGCAGCTTGTAATAGTCTGGTAAATCTAGTGTCAATTTGTCGAAAGTAAACCGTGTCATTAAAAATATTAAGACATTTTTTCTAGTTAATTTTATTCCTAACACTGTTGCCAACATAAGTCGAGGAGTCCTCAACCGTCATTTAATTTAAACTATGACGCTTCTCTATGTTCTCTGATGAAACGTATTTAAAAAATTTAGTGTTCATGGTTCCGGAGAGAGATTTTCGATTTATAAACAATTGAGAGGTGTTTTAACTGAATTTTCTAGTGTTGCAAAATAACGGTTATCTAAAACTTTACCCGTCTCATTTTTAATTTTGTCAGTCCTTATTTTGGTAGTGATAAGTGAATTTCGAGCCCAAAAATAAAAATTATCCGGAACCATCGGTAGACGAAAATTTTCAATCTGTTTTTCGGAGAATGTGCCGTAAAAATTGAGTAAGACACCCAAACTTTTTAACTTTTTAATTGCTCTATTTTTGAATTTGACACAATTATTTTTATCAGTTCCAATTCCAAAGAATTTTCGTAATTTATTGATATTCTCTTGCACAAAATGAATTGATTTTATTGTTCAGGTCGATAAACTGGTCTTAAATAGCAAAACAGTTTTTCCACAATACTTAATGGTGTTCCACTTATGTACATTACTTTGGCTAAAGCTTCATGGCATTTTTTCTGTAGGAATTATTTGTAATTTTAGTAAAACTGCAGGTTCTACAAAGGAAAAAATCACACCTTTTCAAACTCATTCATAGTATCAAAGAATGGAGGTATCCTTGATGAACTTCCGGTATTCAAAGACCTTGAAGGAGTGCTTTCTAAATTGGAATTTGTGTGTATGTCTGAATGCTCCAATTGTTTCAAAGATGAAATTGATGTAGCAGGATTTCTAATAAGCACTTCCGAAACTGAAATGTTACCTTGAACTTCTGAAGAGACTATAATAAACACCGTCAAGCGCGCATGACATATAAAGTTTGAGGTTATGTTAGAAACCCGCCAGTGGGAATGTTTCCACCTAGTGATGTGAGTGTATAATACAGGCTGTATAATACCACGGTTTAAAACTGTATTATACGGTATGTATAAAATGTTTTTATACCACTGGTATAAAATTAAATTTTTAGGTTATATCAATCGTAGTTTTTTTAACTTATTAAGTTACATTAAAAGCAATTTATCATTGCAAAATAATATTTATGATTATGAGGATGACAATGAGAATATCCTCAAATTGCAAGACGATGTATTTAGATAATGATGTCGACATTGCCGAAGATAACATCACGTAGTTGATGAAGGTCAATAAAACAATAGTCTCTACTTTTGTTAATTTTTTTTTTTAATTGAGAAAAATGTTTTATTTTCATATTTACATAGTTTATTGTTTTTTTTTTTATAATAAATTCTTCGTGAAGTGTTTTTCTTTTATTCTCTCTACTAATTAGTAAATCACCAGATGACGTTTACCATAAAGCTAAAAATGAAAAATGTTGGCGCCAAAATTTGAATATAATACCATATAAAATACCGTATAAAACGGTATTATACCATGGTTTTATACCGCAAAAATAAAATACGGTATTTTTACATCACTATTTCCACCTCACATCAGACATCAGTATAATAAGATTAATAGGTAAGGAGGTAGATAATAAAATAACAAACACTGTGATGCTAATTTTTGAGGCATTATATTTATTTAAAGTGGAGAATAAAACATTTAGTTTTTTTCTTAATTCGAAACTACACCAAACTTAAAGTAAATTAAGTCCTATTTATGTCGTTTTTCTTGGTGTTTATAAAGCAATGATAGAGTTTTGGTTTTGTAAGCACACTGATGGCATTTGTGCCACTTATTAGCGTTCGTTTTATCAAAATGGCATTTATTTATGTGTTTCGTTAAATAGTTCTGGAGTTTCGCCTTATGTGGACAATATTCGCACTCGTACCATTTGATTTTTTCATCACTCAAATGTTTCAAAATTGTGTGATATTTTAATTGATACGAATGTTTAGCCTTAAATGAACACTCATTGCATTGGTGCCATTTGATGTCTTTGTCATCCAAATGTAGAGACGTTACATGTTTTTCTAAATACGACTCCCATCGAGTTTTGAATGGGCAATATTTACATTCGTACCCTTTATTTTTGTTGACCAAACACCGATTGCATTCTTTCGATTTAACGTCTTTTTTAAACGAATTTACGGTTTTAAATGAACACTTTTTACACTTCCACCATGCGGTATTTTGTTTCTTTAAATGGATTACTTTCTCGTGGTGTGTTAAAGATCTTTTGTCCTTTGTTTTAAATTGGCACTGTTCGCATTCGTACCATGTAACATGTTTTACAATTGCGTGAGACTTTAAACGATTTTTATTCCTTGTTTTGAAATGACAGTCATTGCATTGAAACCATTCACCTTCTTCTTCTTTCAAGTGTACGTAATTTATGTGCCTGGCTAAACTGTTTTTTATTCTGGTTTTGTATGGGCACTTTTCACATTTATGCCACTGAATATCTCGTTTGTTTAAGTGGTTTCGTTTTGTGTGATTGCTTAGATTTCCTTTCCATTTGGTTCTAAATGGACACTTATCACACTCATATTGTTTGTTTAAATCATGTTTTGCCATATGACATTTTAAAACAGATTTATATTTAGCTTTGAAGGAACATAGCGCACAGTAATACCAACGTATTCCGTCAATTTGCTTGAAATTGAAATTATATGTGGCATTTTCATTTGAAGAACTCACACTTGGGATATTTTCTTTTTTTTCCACGCATTCTGAAGTATGTTCACCCCACTTTAACAACAAATTTGTTTCAAAACCGCACTTTTCGCAAACGTACGTCTGCACACTGAAGTCTTGCAGTGATAAATTATCCCTAAATTCGCTTTTAACACTGTGATTTTTATTAATGTGTTGTTTGAACAGAATCGTTAGTTCCGTTTTAAAATCGCAGTCTTTACAATAATACACTTCAATTTTGGCGTTTTCGCACGTATATTTTTCCTGTGATGAACGGTGCCGTCGCACGTGGTTTACCATAAAGAAAATCGATGTTGTAAAATAGGGGCACAGTTTACAGTTGTGAACGTTTTTCCATGAAGATCTTCCCCACGCTCGAAGAGATTCAGTATACTCCAAAGTTGACATTTTGCTTGCCTAAATCTCCAGAGATAATCGTCAAAGAATGTCAGTTTAGAAGTTTTGACCATCTGACCAGAATTCTAACCTAACTTTTTAAGTCAAAAAGGACGTGATTTTTTGAAAAATACAATTCGAGGCGGATAAGTGGGTGATTGTTCTCGTTTCACCTAAAACACAAAAAATCGATACCAAAAATGCAAATTTTCTGGCAGAAATAATTATAAAATTATTACCAGAGAACATAGAGAAGCGTCCAGGGAGGGTATTCTATGGAAGCGTCATAGCACAGGACGTAATAGTTTAAATTAAATGACGGTTGAGGCACAGAATACTATACAGTAAGGACAGCTTTTGAAAGACAATAAGAAATGCACGTAACGGACTAGAACAACAATAATCGACCGCTGGGTAAGAACATGACCTTGAATTTTGGCTTGAAACTGTAGTGGCAAACTTTGTTACTAAATAAAATTTACCACCATGTCAACATTGTGCGTCAAATTTGACATTTTAGATGTTTGATATTTAATATTGTAACTGTGATTTATTATTTTTACTGAACAGAAAATGCGCGTTCGAACAAATAAATAGAATAAATAATCTTGTGGAAACTGTACACAGGGCACAGGGGTGTGGTATGCTCGTATGGACACAGTTACGAGGGCTACTTTTATACATCGGCCACATGAAGGTAAAATTGAGTTGGTAGAAAATAGTGAAGCAAATCGTTTTTCTAGGGCTGCAAAATAAAAGGTGAATGCTTCATGTGGCATCTTAAGCCCGCCACTCACGTTCCAACGCCGCAGTACAATTAATTGTGTTGGATACGACGAAATCGAAGTGTTTTTGAACGGCTGCGATCAAGCAAATCGGTTGGATGTGGACGGTTAGTGAACAAGTCTGTCTGCAGCAGTACAATCGTGTTGTATTGGATGGAAATTTGATCATGTGTGGACATGTCTCGACAGTGTATGTTATTCAGACCGTGAGAGCAGCTATAAAAGTACATTTTCGTCATTTCGTCGGACTTGTTGTCATCACGATCGCAAATTTTTAACTGCAAGGTCGTAACGTGTGTGTGTACTGCTGCTTTTTAACAGAATTGTACAACAGTTGCATCCAATACAATCGTACTGCGACGTTGGAACGTGAATGGCCAGCTTTAGGATTACCAAAATGGTGAATCATCATCAAAGGCGTTGAAGTGACAGAGAAGTTTATCATATATGATGACATTTCGTGCAACGGCAAAATAACTACATGTTTCACAGGTGTATTTCATCAAGCATTTCTTCATTAAGTATCCACAGACATAACTTAAAGAATTTTGTTCCCCCATGTCCAGATGTCTGTAGTCTGTCATATTTACTTCGACAGATTTATGTGCAAAAGTTGTTCAGCTTTAAACTGTATTAATAATTTGACACTGGTTACTATCTTTAGATTCAATTGCTAGTAAAATAGATCCTAAATCATTACAACTATTGGCATTTTCACTGTGCTGTAAAAATTGCATACCAAATAATTTTTTATTGATTATAGAATAATACACTTCTTTATATTTCTTATCAATCACGAGGTGGTCTACCACTGCAGTCCATGTTACTACGAAAAGGTTCTCAGAATCACTTCACTAATTTAACTAACAACAAAAATTCAACCAAAAACATCAAAGTACTTTTCCCATGGAAGATGAAAACAACAGCGTTCACTTTCTGACTCTTTAAACGGTTCACACTTGGCGAAAATTGAAGGCATTGACAAAATAGGTAGTTGATATGTTTATGTTGAAATTAACTTGGTAAAGTGATAGACTTTTATTAATGAATAAAATAAATATAAGCACAATTCTCTTTTATTGTTCAAAATGGCATTTTCTTCGTAGTCTTCATACCACACTCCAAAAATTGGTTTCAGTTTATTAATATTCATTCCATGTTTATATCAGTTCCTTTTACATTGTTTTACGGACGAGCTGTATTTGTAATTCAGGCACCAATATTCCACCTCGTTTCAAAAATCCCGCCTAATAAAAACGGTTGAGTAAGGACACGTTGTTCCAATGTTTGACGAGCTGTCTCTACTGTATGGTATACTGTGGTATCGGCAACAATGTTTATATTTCTGGCATATTTTTTAACCTTTATTTTAATAAAACATAAGTTAACAAAAAAAGTTCAGGGAATTTTTATTCTTCTGCATCGAATACCGACAAACTCACTACATTTTCATTGCCAACCCTACTATAGAAAGATCCTGAACCGATAATAGGTACAATCACACGCAAATGTTTTGAGCCGATGGGCGGATCATTTTTGCCTGTCGTCACCGAAGGAGGCGGTCCAAATCGTCCAAGGGCAGAATTTGTAGGTAGGCTCAAACTACAACGAAATTTACGTGTTGACCAAATTCTTACCCTGAATTAGTTTTAATTTTATAAATACTTACTCTGAATTAGTTTTAATTTTATAAATACCCTATCTAAAATGTTCAGAATATGATGAGTCTATACTTTTTGATTTACCATTCCATTAATATTTTTTGGATTTGTTTATACATACAGGGTGACTCAAAAAAAAAAATTGCTGAATCAATTTATTTTATTGAAGAAATCAAGAGTTGCAATACTGAATACATAGAAATCTTGTCAATTAGTTAGAAAAAAAAAACCTGTCCTGCTCTAATAACATCTAGAGTATGCTCAAAATCACACCAATATTAGGTCTAATTGTGCCGACCATAGTTATAAAATTCACATTAAAGTAAGTCACGGACATTTTTTGAAGTGTATTACATTTCAAAAAGCAAAAAAAATGTTCAGTTTATAAACTTCATAATTTTGGTTTAAAGTTTATCAATCATATTTGACGCTTTATTTTATCCGTTCCATTTGTTATCCTTTACAGCTTTGTTGTGACCACTGAATTATACAAAGAGTAAATTTTGAAATGGAACGAAAGTCGAAGAATACTTTCAAAGCCACGATCAAAATGTATTTGCTTATCTTCGCCAAAAAATGCATGACGTCATCGTAAAATTTGATATGATGAGTCTATACCTGTGATTTATCATTGCAGTAATATTTTTTAGATTTACTTATACAGCCTGTCTCAAAAAAAGATCACTTCGATTTTCGATTTTTCGTTTTTTCGACCAACCATTTCATCGAATTAGATTTTTCAGTTTCAATTTTTCTATCAACTTTTCGATTTTATTACTTTCCAATTTTCTGATTTTTCAAATTTGCGGTATTTTGAATTTTCGAGTTTTTAGTTTTTTCGTTTTTCGATTTTTTAATTTTTCGTTTTTTTGATTTTTCGATGTTTCGATTTTTTGATTTGCCCTTCATTCAATTTTCGATTTTTCGTCTTTCCATTTTTAGATTTTTGGATTTTTCTGTTCGTCAGCTTTTAGACTTTGCAATTTTTTTGCGTTTTTCGATTATATTTTACTTTCCGATTTTTTTGATTTTTCAATTCTCGATTTTTCAATTTTCCGGTTTTTTAGTTCTTCTATTCTCGATTTTTCGATTTTCCATTAATCATTAAATTTTCAATTTTTCGGTTGTTTTATTTTTCGACCTTCGATTTTTCAACTTTCGATTATTCGATTTTCCATTTTCTGATTTTACGATTTTTCGATTTGCGATTTTTCGATTTTCGTTTTTCCGCTTTTGTGGTTTTTAGATTTTTCTGTTTGTTTCAGTTTTTATGGTTCTGCGATTTGTTTTATTTTTCCATTTTTCGATTATTTTACTTTCCGATAGTTTGATTTTTGAATTTTCGGTTTTTCCATTTTTCGATTTGGGATTTTTCAATTTTTCGGTTTTTTAATTTTTTATATCTCGAGTTTCGATTTTTCAGATTTGTGGATTTGTGTCCGTTTTTTCGATTTTTAGAATATTGATTAATCGAATTTTCGATTTTTGAGCATTTCGATTTTTCGATTATCATTTTTACTATTTTTCAAAATCTCGATATTCGAGTTTTCGATTTTCCATTTTTCAAATTTTCAATTTTTAATTTTGCTTTTTTCGATTGTTGCTTTTTAGAATTTTCCCTTCTTCAGCTTTTAGATTTCAATTTTGTTACTTTCCGATTTTCCACTTTTTGATTTTTTTATTTTTTTTCGATCGTCGTTTTTTCGATTTTCATTTTTCCGATTTTTTGATTTTTCAATTTTTAGGGCTTGCAATTTTTTTTACTTTTCGCTTTTTCGAGTATTTGTTTCATCGAATTTTCGATTTTTCGAGTTTTCGATTTTCGATTTTTCGGTTTTTCCATTTTCCGATTTTCCATTTTTAGACATTTTTCGATTTTTTTTGATTTTTCGATTTTTCTGTTCGTCAGTTTTGAGACTTTGCAATTTTTGCTTTTCCACTTTTCTATTATTTTAGTTTTGAATTATTCGATTTTTGAATTTTGTTTTTTTTTCATTTTTTGATTTCCGATTTTTTAATTTTTCGATTTTTCGGTTTTTTAATTTGTCGATTCTCGATATTCCGAATTTCGATTTTTCGATTTTTCAATTTCCAGTTTTCGATTTTCCACTTTTTGATTTTACGATTTTTCGATTTTTCTGTTCGTCAGTTTTTAGGCTTTGCAGTTTGTTTACTTTTCGATTTTTCGATTATTTTACTTTCCAATTTTTTGATTTTTGAATTGTCGACTTTTAGTGTTTTCAATATTATGAATTTTCGAATTTTCGGTTTTCCTAGTTTTCGATTTTTGATTTTTCCGTTTTTCGGTTTTTTTATTTTTCAATTCTCGGTTTTTCAATCTTACAAAGTTTCGATTTTTCAGATTTGTGAATTTCCAGTTTTTCGATCGACCTACGTATTAGATTCATTGAATTTTCGATTTTCGGTTTTTCCATTTTTAGATTTTTGATTTTCCAGTTTTGTATTTTCAGATTTTCTGTTTTTCGCATATCTGAATTATCAAATTTTCGATTTTTCGGCTTTTCGACTTTTCGATATTTGATTTTCGAATTTTCGATTGTTCAGTTTTCCATTTTTCAGCTTTTAGACTTAAATTTTTTTACTTTTCGATTTTCCAAATTTTCGAGTTTCAATTTTCAGATTTTTGATTTTTCGAATTTTTGATTTTTGATTTTTTCATTCTTCGGTTTTTAGACTTCAATTTTCTTTCTTTTAAATTTTTCGATATTCTATTTTCCGCTTTTCAGAATTTTCGATTTTCAGTTTTCAGACTTTCGATCATTAGAATTTTGGATTTTTCAGTTTTATGATTTTTCGATTTTTAGAAAATTTGAGTAGTCGAATTTTCGATTTTTCAATTCATCGATTTTTCCATGTTCAATTTTTCAATTTAAATTTTGCAATTTTCAATTTGTCCATTGTTGATTTTTATAATTTTCGGTTTTTCAATTTTTCTATTCTCAACTGTTTGACTTCAATTTTGTTACTTCCCGATTTTTTGGTTTTCGATTTTCCAATTTTCAGAATTTCCAAGTTTCTTTATTCAGATTTTCGATTTTCCACTTTTTCGATTTTAGATTTTTCGAATTTTTGTTTTTCCAATTTTTTGCTTTTTCGATTTTTCTGTTCGTTTCAGTTTTTAGGCTTTGCAATTTTTTTCTACTTCATATATATTGATTATTTTAATTTCCGATTTTTTTTATTTTTGTATTTGATTTTTTTAATTTTCAATATTACTTTTCGATTTTTTGGTTTTCCCGTTTTTCAATTTTCGATTTTTCGATTTTTGAGGTTTGTGAATTTCCACTTTTCGATCGACCTAGGTATTTGATTCATTAAATTTTCGATTTTTTAATTAGCCATTTTATTTTTTTGATTTTTACGATTCGTATTTTTCGATTTTCTGTTTTTTGCATTTGTGAATTTCATTTTTTCCGATTTTTGATTTTGCGCATATTAATCAAATTTTCGAAAAAGTTACCATGCTTACAAAAACTTCAAAACATCTACAATATTTCAAAGTATTCAATTTTGCTATTCTTGATTTCTTAAATAAAATAAATTGACTCAGTTATTAACTTTTTTGAGACACCCTGTATAACCAAATCTAAAAAATATTAATGCAGTGATAAATCACAAGTATAAAAACTCATCATATTTTATACATTTAAGAAAATTTTGAGGTGACGTCATAAATTTTTTAGAGGGGACACTCGACAATATCGTTTTTTTTTTATTTATTTATTTATTATGAACATTTAAGAGTATTTTATTGGAAAAAGTGATGAAATTTTTTATACGGAACAATTGGTCGAAAGATGTTAGAAAGCAAAATAATTCCTGTCCGGACCATCGTTACTCACGAACGAAAGTGACCATTATTTTATGGGAACAACCACCTGCTAAATCTTCTCCGACAAATTTGAGAGAACTGGTGTGAGCCTTAAAAATTTCTTACCAAATGTATATATAAGTACTGTCCGTCCCGTTATTGTCAATAAAATTTTATAGGGTAAAATGTGAATTTCGTTGTAGTTTGAGCCTACCTACAAATTCTGCCCTTGAAGGATTTGGACTGCCTTCTTCGGTGAGGGCAGGCAAAAATGATCCGCCCATAGGCTCAAAACATTTGCGTGCGATTGTACACTAGCGTAACATAAAACATAGTTCAGTCTAGGGATATTTGTTATTTTACCAACATAAATCAACAGTTGGTGGATGTGAGTATTTGCAATCTAGAACGACTAATAATTATTGTAATTATTTCTGCTGCAAAACCATCATATTTACTACAGATTTTTTGTGTTTTAGGTAAAACGAGCACAATCACACACTCATCACCGTCTAATCTTCCTCGAATTCTATTTTTCGACAAATGACAACGTCACTTTTGACGTACAAATGTTAGGTTAGAACGGTCAAAATTTCTGAACATTCAGATAACCAAAGTTGCATTTCCTTCCCTAGTGTTGTATTAATACGGTTTTAAACAACCAAAATGTCAACTTTGGAGTATTCCAAATCACTTCAAGCCTGGGGAAGATCGTCATGGAAAAACGTCCACAACTGTAAACAGTGCCCCTATTTTACAACATCGCTTTTCTTTATGGTCAACCACGTGCGACGACACCGCCTCCCTGTGAAAGAATTCGCTTGCCGAAGCGCCGAAATTGAATCATACCACTGTAAAGACTGCAATTTTAAAACGGAACTAACGATTTTATTCAAACAACACATTAATAAAAATCACAGCGTTAAAAGCGAATCAAGGGACGATTTATCACTTCAGGACTTCAAAATCCAAAATTACGTTTGCGAAAAGTGCGATTTAGAATCAAACATGTTTTTAAAATGGGCTCGACATACTTCTAAATGCACGACAAAAAAAAGTGTGAGTTGTGTGAAAGAGGAAACCACGTATATGTTCCATTTCAAGAAAGTTGACGGGAAACGTTGGTATTACTGTGCACTGTGTACCTACAAAGTTAGAAATAAAGCAATTTTAAAATGTCATATGGGAAAACATACTTTAAGTAAACAATATACGTGTGATAAGTGTCCATTTAAGTGCAGGTGGAAAGGAAGTTTAAGCAATCACGTAAAACGAAACCACTTAGATGAACGAGATGTTCAATGGCACAAATGTGAAAAATGCCCTTTTAAAAGTGTATTAAAAAGTTATTTAACCAGACACGTAAACAACTTGCACTTGAAAGAAGAAGAAGGTAAATGGTTTCAATGCAATGAGTGTCCATACAAAACAAGGGTGAAAGGTAGTTTAAAAACTCACGTAATTTTAAAACATCGAGATGAAGAAAAAATCGAATTAAACAAACAAAATGCAGAAAAGCGTAAGTGTAAAAAGTGTTCATTTAAAACCATAAATTTGTTTGACTCGAACGAAGAAGACGTTAAATTGCAAGAATGTAAGGAGTGTCTGCTCAATAAAAATAAGCGCTATGAATGTAAATATTGTCCATTCAAAACCAAGTGGAAGCCGAATTTACATAAGCACGTAATTACTTTCCATCTGGACGATAAAGAAGCTAAATGGCACCAATGTGACAAATGTCCATACAGAAATAAATTTAGAGCAGAATTACGGAAACACAAAGAAGTTAATCATTCAGAAGAACCAAAATGGTATGAATGTGCCAAGTGTTCGTATAAAACTAAAATAAAAACCTACTTAAAACAGCATGTACCGATTCATTTCGAGAGCAAACCGTATCAGTGCGAATATTGTCCATACAAATCGAGACGCAACCGTGATTTAAAAACTCACATAAACGACCGCCACATATTTCAGATAAATCCTGATGGTAAAGACGTTAAATGGTACGAGTGTGAAAAATGTTCGTTCAAAACTAGAAAGAAAAAATGTTTAAAAAATCACATAACTAACATACACTTGAGCAAAGAAGACATCAAATGGCTCCAGTGCAATGAGTGTTCATTTAAGGGTAAATATTTGTATCAATTAAAACGGCACGAAATCGCTGTGCATTTAAACGACGACAAAATCAAGTGGTTCGAGTGCGAATATTGTCCACATAAGACGAAACTCAAGAGCTATTTAACGTCCCATATGAATAGATGCCATTTTGAAAAAACGGACGCTAATAAGTGGCACAAATGCGATCAGTGTCCTTACAAAACCAAAATTGTGTCATTTCTTTATAAACACCAACAAGAACGACATAAATAGGATTTAATTTAGTGTAGTAGTATTAAGGCGATTGTATACATTAAGTACGGGTTTTGTTGTATTTTATGACTATTTTTTCAATAAAATTGAAAAAACAAAATTGTGGTTATTTTTTCATTATCGACCTATTTTCGACGATTTATAGTTAGAACAGGCAGAAAAAATTTGTTTCTTATAGATCGTAAGATCACAAAAAATGCTAAATCGTGCAACTTATGTTACTCAAAATTTTTTAATGTTCCGTAATCCAGTATTTTTAAGGTATTAGCTTTATTAGTTTAAGAAAATATATAAATTCTAAATATTTTAATACAGACTAACCGGCAAAAATTTTGGCACAATTTGGAAAAAACCTCTAAATATTTTGAATCAGAAAAGCTGAAAAGAACGGATCTAAAAATACAAACGAAGATTCTTGTAGATGTCAGAAGTCACAAAAACGTCTAAATTTTAACAGTTTGTGGACAAAATATAAATTCTAATAAATATTTTAACCGAAATTCTGCTAGAAAAGTTTTGAGAATTTTGTTTTGTGAACTAAACATCTAAATATATAAAGAAAATTTCTTTTAGATCCCAAAGTCACAAAAAAGACTAAATTTTGCAAATTATGTAACTAAATTTTTTTATTGTTAGCGTTATTAGATTCAGAGCAATTTAAATTCTAATTATTTTCATAGAGACTTTACCGACAAAATTTTTGAAAATTTCGGCATATTTTCGAAAAATCTGAAAATACTTTGGGTCATGAAAACTCAAAAAATAGCTCTAAAAATATAAACGAAAATTCTTATGGATCCCAAAAATCACGAAATCTAAGGCTAAATTTTGATAATCAGTTTCAAATTATGCAACTCAATTTTTTAAATGTTACGTAAATCACTTTTTTAAAATATTTGCAATGGTACCTTAGATATTTTTTACTTAAAAAAATTTTTAATTTAATGTTTACATTAACTTGAGATCGTCTACTTTCTTTTGATTGAGCGAATCGACTTCAATAAATATTGATTTTCTAGCCGAAAGAAGACTACACATATTAAGCAAAAAAGGACAAAATATAAGCCCCGCCCACCCGCCCGATCTTTATTCTGATGAATTTTTCATTCATAGTCAGACGCAGAGGCGGAGAGTAATTGCAAAATCCAGCTTTTCCTACAAAAATATAAGCCCCGCCCACCCGCCCGATCTCAATTGTGATGAATTTTTCATTCGTTGTCAGACAGAGGGGCGGAGCGTAATTGCAAAATCCAGATTTCTTTACAAAAATTTATTATTTTGTGAACAAAGATAAATTCTATATATTTTAACCGGAACTCCGCCAGAAATATTTTGAAAATTTGAGCACACTTTGAAAAACAACTAAAATTCATAATGCTTTCATAAAAAAATGTCTAAAAATATAAATAAAATTTCTCGTAGATCTCAAAATCTACAAAAATGTATCTAAAACAAATGTTTTCTTGATAATTTTCTTGCAGATAAATTTTTTTAATTGCATATAATTTTTTTACAAAATCTGAAAATATTATTCGATCACTGAAATTCATATCAGAAGAAGACAGACAAAAGAAGAAAAAAGGCAAAATATAAGCCCCGCCCACCCGCCCGATCTCTATTGTGATGAATTTTTCATTCGCTGTCAGACCGAGGGGCGGAGCGTAATTGCAAAATCCAGATTTCCCTATAAAAATTTTATGTTTTGGAAATTTCAACACATAAAAAGAAAACAAAAATTCAGAATTATTTCAATTCGAAAAGCTGAGAACAAAAGACCTAAAAATACAAAGAAAATTTCCTGTAAATTCCAAAATCACAAAAAAGCCAAATTTTGATAATTACTTTCAAATTATGCAACTCATAACTTTTTGAATGTTGCGTTATTAGTTTGAAAAAATCAATAAATTTTAAATATTTTAATTGAGACTTTTTACCGAGGAATCTGTAATTTGACTATTTCGGCACATTTTGGAAAGAACTGAAAATAATTTGGAACAGAAAAACTGAAAAGAAAATCACAAAGGTCTAAAAATATAAACGAAAATTCTTGTAGATGCCAAAAATCACAAAAACGTCTGAATTTTGACAGTTTGTGAACAGAATATAAATTCTCAATGTTTTGACTAAAACTTCACAACAAAATTTTGAAAATTTTGGCACATTTTGGAAAAAATTGGAAACATGTTGGATCAAAAAACCTGCAAATAACAGATTTAACAATACAAACAAAAATTGTTGCAGATCCCAAAAATCATAAAAAGTCCAAATTTTGAAAATCATTTAAAAATAAATAACTTACAATTTTTAAAATCCAGCATTACAGTTCGTGGAAAAAACTTGAATTTTAAGTGTTTTCACTCACATTTTTTGCAAAAATATAAATTTTAAAGATTTTAACAAAAATTTCCCAACTAACATATTGAAAATTTCGGCAATTTTCGAAAAAAACTGAAAATACTTTAGGTCAGAAAAGCTGAAAAAAACAAGTCTAAAAATATAAACGAAAATTTTTGTGGATTCCAAAAATTACGAAATCTAAATTTTGACATTTTGTGAACAAAATATAAATTTTAAGTGTTGGACTAAAATTTCGCCACAAAGTTTTATGCGATATGTCGACTTAAAAAATATTGAATTTCTATCCAAAAGAAAACTACACATATTAAGAAAAAAAGGGCAAAATATAAGCCCCGCCCACCCACCCTATCTCAATTGTGATGAATTTTTTATTCGTTGTCAGACAGAGCCAGAGCGTAATTGCAAAATCCAGATTCCCATACAAAAATTTACATTTTGAATGCCTAATTTTATATTTTGGAAATTTCAAACTAAAATTCAGAATTATTTCAATTCGTAAAGCTGAGAAAAGTTCCTGTAGATCTTAAAATCACAAAAAAGCCAAATTTTGATAATCACTTTCAAATTATGCAACTCATAATTTTTTAAATGTTAGCGTTAAGTTTGAAAAAAAAAATCTAAATATTTTAACTGAGACTTTTTTATCGAGAAATAATTCGAAAGTTTGGACACATTTTGGAAAAAACTGAAACTATGTTGGAACAGAAAAGCTGAAAAGAACAGGTCTAAAAATATAAACCAAAAAATTCTTGTACATCCCAAAAATCACAAAAACGTTTAAATTTTGATAGTTTGTGAACAAAGATAAATTCTCTCTATATATTTTAACTGAAACTCCGCCACAAAGATTTTGAAAATTTTAGCACACTTTGAAAAACAACTAAAATTCATCATGCTTTCAGAAAAAAAAACAAAAATATAAAGAAAATTTCTTGTAGATCTCAAGATCTCCAAAGATTTATCGAAAACAAATATTTTCTTGTTAAGTTCCTTGCTGATAAATTTTTGAAATGCGTATAATTTTTTACAAAATCTGAAAACATTATTCCATCACTGGAATTCATACAACAATCCAAAAAGAGATTTTAAGCGTTTGACAAAAATCTAAACTTAAAAATAAAGGTAGTGGCGATAAATATAAGTTTATAGGCAAATTTCATTGTCGCTAGATGGCGCTCCAGAAATGTCAAAAACTGACAGTTACCTAACCTAACTTTAATTCAACAGTTTTGGCGATAACTATCAGAACTTTGCGATTTTCATTTGGTATCTTATTTGTTTACGCTTTTATTATTATATAAGGTGTGTCGACTGTATTTATTGTGTTTATAATTTGTAGTTTCTTGCTTTGAAAATATGGCTATGATATAAAGAAAAAAAAAAGGCTAAATATAAGCCCCGGCCACCCATCCTGTCTCGATTCTGATGATTCTTTTTATTGGTCGTAAGCCGAAGAGCGGAGCTTAATAGGAAAACAAATAAAATTCAGATTGTCTTCAATTCGAAAAGCTGAGAACAATAGACCTAAAAATATAAAGAAAATTTCGTATAGATCGTAAGATCACAAAAAATGCTAAATTGTGCAACTTATGTTACTCAAATTTTTTTAATGTTACCTAATCCAGTATTTTTAAGGTATTGGCTTTATTAGTTTCAGAAAATATATGAATTCTAAATATTTTAATACAGACTTTAACCGGCAAAAATTTTGGCACATTTTGGAAAAAACCTCTAAATATTTTGAATCAGGAAAGCTGAAAAAAACGGGTCTAAAAATACAAACGAAGATTCTTGTAGATGTCAAAAGTCACAAAAACGTCTAAATTTTAACAGTGTGTGGACAAAACATAAATTCTAATAAATATTTTAACCGAAATTCTGCTATAAAAGTTTTGAGAATTTTAGCACATTTTGAAAAACAACTAAAATCCAATTTGAAAAGCTGTGAACTAAACATCTAAATATATAAAGAAAATTTCTTTTAGATCCCAAAGTCACAAAAAAGACTAAATTTTGCAAATTATGTAACTAATTTTTTTTATTGTTAGCGTTATTAGATTCAGAGCAATTTAAATTCTAATTATTTTCATAGAGACTTTACCGACAAAATTTTTGAAAATTTCGGCATATTTTGGAAAAATCTGAAAATACTTTGGGTCATGAAAACTCAAAAAATAGCTCTAAAAATATAAACGAAAATTCTTGTGGATCCCAAAAATCACGAAATCTAAGGCTAAATTTTGATAATCAGTTTCAAATTATGCAACTCAATTTTTTAAATGTTACGTAAATCACTTTTTTAAAATGTTTGCAATGGTACCTAAGATATTTTTTGTTATTTAAAAAAAAAATTAATTTAATGGTTACATTAGCTTGAGATCGTCTACTCTCTTTTGACTGAGCGAATCGACTTGAATAAATATTGATTTTCTAGCCGAAAGAAGACTACACATATTAAGCAAAAAAGGGCAAAATATTAGCCCCGCCCACCCGCCCAATCTTAATTGTGATGAATTTTTCATTCGTTGTCAGACAGAGGGGCGGAGAGTAATTGCAAAATCCAGCTTTTCCTACAAAAATATAAGCCCCGCCCACCCACCCGATCTCAATTGTGATGAATTTTTCATTCGTTGTCAGACAGAGGGGCGGAGCGTAATTGCAAAATCCAGATTTCTTTACAAAAATTTATTATTTTGTGAACAAAGATAAATTCTATATATTTTAACCGGAACTCCGCCAGAA